CAATACATTCAATCCACACACAGACATTCGTATACTGGAAATAGAAAACCACTACCAAACCAGACTAACTTTAGAAAACCTACACATTCATTTAAATAATAACTTATTAAAAGAAAACATAAACAATAGTCCTTCTCCTTTACTAAAATTACTATTAGACACCACTCCCAAACCGCACCCCGCCGGGGCGGCACAGTGACAGCGCACCGCACTTACTATTTTCATTCGCTTTTCTTTAGTATTAATGGCTTACCCCCCCCCCCACTTTTTCTTTCTCCCGTTGTCAAATATATTTTCCAAAAAATTTGTAAATTATTTGTAACCTTTATCATAATCTTGTTGTTAATTCACGTTTTAATGTTTTGTTTTTTTGTTTTTTCTTCTTGTATCAGACAACTGATGATGATGGCTAAGCCATCGAAAGCTGCTATTGCATTAAAATATATTGTTGGCAATGACAACATCTTTAACTATTTTGAATGATATTACGAATGAAATGGATAAACAAATACAGTGCCAATTTAAAGTCCACCAATGCCTGAATAAAGATTTCATTTCGTTCTTCTTGACTGCGCAAGTAGGGCATAACTTACCATGTGTGGGAACTCGCAGGCTTTTGCCCTCTTCCCACCAACGGCTCTTGGGTTCCTCTCGTGACGTTGGCGTTTCTGGTACACATTTTGAATGTACTTTCGGCACACTACACTCCGAGAACGAAAGACAATTTTTTAACAACACTAAAGAGGAACAATTTCGCTGTTAATTTTAGCAGCCAACAATTCTAACTGCATTTTTAATTAATTTTTGGTAAGTGAATGAATACCCATGTATACATTGACTATTCACGTTTAAAAATTTGAAAATAGACAGAAAACGAATAAAACTTGCAAGCATAAAAATTATTCGCATTCAATACATCACACGCTATGCAAGATATTGACATTCACTAATACAAAAAAATGTGAACAAATTTGTATTACCAATAGCGATCCCAGAAAGAGGAAAACAGGTTTTGAATAGGAATGTTAATAACAGCACTGACAGAGTGTATTTTAAAAATTCGGCATTAGTGATGTAGAACGTAATTAAATGAAGGGCACTCACTGCGGTCTGCTTTGGTTTCGCTGGGGCAGCAGACCAGCGGCATTGGCGGGGAAGGGGGCACTAGGGCGGCAGGGCTCGGTGGTGGAGAGCGTGCGGCCGGGATTGGTGTGGTGAGAGGTGGAGGATTAGGGGCGGGGCGTGGTATGGGGCTGGGTGCAGGGCGAGTTTGGGGGCTGGGTGCGGGGCCAAATGTGGGCTTGGGTGTAGTTGTGGACGTGCGGGGTGCGGGGCGTGGAGGAGTGCTTGTGGCATGGCCTGGTGTGGAGCTCTGAGGGCCGAGGCCAGTCCTCGCAATCTTGCACTCGCTGGCAGGCCGGTAAACGCCCACACTTCCATCTCCCATCTGACACGGAGCTCCTCTCACTGCCATACGCCAAAAAGTATTTTATGGTTGAATTCATCTAATCGTAAATATTAGTACAAGAAAAGTGAATTACAGTTTCATAAAAATATAATATTAACAATTTACTTAATTTTTAGAAAAATTCCCAAATTTTCCTTGTATTCCTATTTTGACTAGCATCACTATGTAGAATAGGGCGTTCCGTTAGTTAAACTAATACGTTCTGACTTCAATGGCGTATTATTATTTAGACGATTTTCTCAACATCATGTTAAATTGTACTAACAGTTTTAAACATAGAAATGTTTTAAACAAGAAGCACTGTGGTATATTTTTAACAAATTTAAAGAAATCTTTAAACACTTTTTTCCTTTTTTATCAAAACTGTGTGAGAGAAAACTCCTTCAATAGAATGTTTGTTATCGAACAAATGGTAAGATATTGCCGTGATAAAGGAATTTTGAGAATTTTTATAAAACTCATTAACTCATTTTAGGGTCTGAGCGTTATCCTATATTGTTTAGGGAACACTACATCAAATAAGAGCGATTGTAATGGTCAATAAGATAACATTTATAATAATATAGGATAACAATTCCAATAATAATAAATCACATATTTCTATTAAATATGGCCAGTCCCTAAAATTGCCGAACGTAATCGCTAAGGGGCAAAATATTTATTTTTTTTATTATAAAACATCTTATTAAAAACTATAGCACCTTAAATGAACACGTCAATACATTATTGACTTTTCAATCAAGCTTACGAAGTAAGGACAGCTAACAATAATAGAAATGCACTTGTAGCCCATTGGTATGCAAGTGCAGAGTCAAATGTCGGAAACGAAGAATCTTTTCAACAATTGGAAAACACTGTGTAGTTGGAAAGAGTCGTTTCCAAAGCACTTTTCAGTGCACCATTGACAGAAACTGTTGCACACATAGTTTTCATTTATTTATTTAATGTCAACAGTCATGAAACGAGCATTTTTGGAAAGAACCGATAAGACAAAATTCCCTCATTTGTAATAAAACCTATTTGCAAAGGCAAATGAGCCACAGAGTCTGGCCACTATCCCTCTTCGTGCCTTTGTGAAGAAATCGTGGAGGAGGTCTGGCCACGAGAACAAGTAGAACGATAATTAGAATAATTACATTACTCACAGAACTCCAAAGAACATGCAAATGTTACATTTAGGCCCAGAGGCAAAACAAGGCGTCATCTCGGTATTCACTCCAAGGACCAGGTAAACTGAACGATAAATCTGACTGATAAGGGGGGTCATTGACTCAGACGTTGAGGTGCAATTCTTGTTACAAGTTGTTTAGAATTATACAGTCCAAATAATCATTAATGCATTCTAAATCATTGTTGAAATTAATATCGATAAGTAGTTAATACTACTAATATTACTAATTAAACTGACACTCACCTGCGGCATTGCTGCCAGCAGGGCT